ATTACAGGCGTGCACCACCACACCTGGCCTATATTTTGTTTTTTGAGACAGGTTTCATTAAATCTCTAAGTTTTCCAGGCTGGCTCAAACTTGGGATCCTCCTGCCTCAGCCTGCCAGTACTGGGACTGTAGGTGACACTACCACCAGCTCCAAATTAGTTTAATGCCATATGTGCCCTTAAATAATTTTTTTTTTTTGTACCAGAGATTGAACTTGGATCCTTGTGCTTGCAAGGCAGGTGGCAGAACCACAGAGCTAAATCCCCTATCTTTTGTATATTCTTGTTTAAAAGGCAGTTGAACCAGGTTTGTCAATCATTGGAGCATGAGCTCATAGTTGATCAAAGAACACTGTCAATTGTTGATTTGTTTGTTTTGAGACAGGGTCTCACTATGTGAGAGTTCCAGACTGCCCTGGAACTCACTGTGTAACCCAGAACTCACAGCGATCCTCCTGCCTCAGCCTCCTGAGTGCTGGGATTACAGGGGTGTGCCACCATACCTGCTTTGTCAGTTTTAACTTTGAAACAACAGATAGTTACAAAAAAAAAAATCTTACACATAAAGGATAAATTTGCAGAGATTTATAAGTTTCCAATTTCACAGCGACTCTGAGACTTTTTTTTTTTTTGAGACAGGGTCTTACTATGTAGTTGAAACTGCCCTGGAACTCACTATGTATCCCAGGCTGGTCTCGAACTCACAGCGATCCTCCTGCCTCATCCTCCCGAGTGCTGGGATTACAGGTGTGCGCCACCACGCCCGGCCTAGTCTGAGACATTTTAAAAGCAAAGATTCTAGCTAGCACACAAAATGACAGAAATGAAATAATTGAAGCTCTGTTTATTTCAAATAGGCTATTTAAAAGCAAAGGTGTGTGATACCACAGGGCTGGAGATAAAAACTAGCTCAGACGGGGACCTGGATCTGAAATGATAAAAAAAGAGTAGTTGGGCTAGGGAGGGTGGCATGTTCCTGAAATTCCGGCTACTCAAGGGACTGAAGCAGGAGGATTGCAAGTTTGAGGCTAGGTTGGCAATTCAGAGAGATCCTGTCTGTCTGAAAATTAAAACAACAACTTGGGATGTAGCTCAGTGGAAGAGCACCCTTGGATTAAATAAATTGTAGCTGAGTGTGTGTGTGTGTGTGTGTGTGTGTGCGGGAGGATACTGTGTAATGATATTCTCCAACTAACTGCCATGCACAGTATACAATATATTGGGTAAACTTAAGTTATAACACTGTGCTAATGCAAAGTTTAAATATATATTAGTTTTGGTACCAGGGATTGAACTCGGGCCCTTGCACTTGCAAGGTAGGTGGGAAACCACTGAGCCAAATCCCTGGCCGATATTAGAACTCAATAGTAACACAGGAACAAAACAAATTTTAGAGGCTGGGTGTCACTTAGGCTGAGGCAGGAGGACAGCTGTGAGTTCAAGGCCAGCCTGGGCTACATAGCGAAGCCCTGTCTCAAGGAAGGAAAAAAAAAAAAGTGGCCTTGGATTTGATCCCCTGCTAGCGTAAAACAAAGAAACAAAAACCATGATTATGAAAATGACTTATCTTGAAAAGTCAAAAGATAGGAAGTTCCATCATGGAACCAAGAGACTGAGTTGTAGCTGCCTGGTTAGAAAGTGCAGTCTCCACTTTGCCCTGTCCCTTTCCTTTGGATCCTAATGTGCTGAGTGCTAGTACTGTACCAGTTGCCGTTTACCAAGATGCTCAGGGCATAGGTTTTTCAGAGCAGTTATATATATTTTTTTTTTGCAAGTTTTTTTTGTTGTTGTTGTTTTTGTTTTGTTTTTCAGTACCAGGGATTGAACTCAAGGCAGGCATAGGGCCACTGAGCTATGTCTGAGGCCCTTGCAAATGTTTAATCAAGTGAGAGGGTGGCTGGAGTGAGCTGTGGGTGGGCTCAGGAGCAGGGCTTGACACTACCTTGGCACCACCAGACCAGCACTGGTGATGGAAGCTTAAGGCCTGGCCAGACTGATGCCTGATGTGGCCCCCAGTGCCATCTGGGAGAATGACATCGTGGCCATTGACACCCCCATGAGTCTATCTACCAGTTTCTGATTGCCATTCGTCAGGGAGGAGAAGCGCCGCAGAACGAGGAGGGGAGACCACCAGCCCCAACGGGCCTGTGGTACCGCACCATCTGCATGACGGACAGCAGTATCCAGCCCAAGTACGTCTTCGACGGCACACAGCTGCGCTCAGTTTAGGAGAGCTGGCCGAGCGCTGGAGCGGCGGGCAAGGAAGAGAAGCAGCTGCAGCAGGCCCGGGCTGCTGAGCTGGAAGAAGAGGTGGAAAAATTCACCAAGCAGCTGGTGATGGTCACGAAACACCACGATGATGAGTGAAAACATCTGCTGAGCCTCTTGGGCATCCCATAGCTCGATGATGCCCCTAGTGAGGTGGAGGCCAGCTGCACTGCCCTGGTGAAGGCTGGCAAAGTCTACACTGCAGCCACCGAGTACAGGGACCGCCTCAGTTTTGGCAACCCCGTGCTCATGCACCACTTGACCACCAGCGAGGCCAGGAAGCTACCCATCCAGGAGTTGCACCATGCTGGGCCTGACCTCAGAGCAGTTTGTGGATCTGTGCATCCTGTTGGGCAGTGACTACTGCGAGAGCATTGGGGTGTCGGCCCCACGCGGCTGTGGACCTCACCCAGAAACACAAGAGCATCGAGGAGATTGTGTGGTGGCTCAGCCCCAGAGAATGTCCAGTGCCGGAGAACTGGCTGCACAGGGAGGTGCAGCAGTTCTCCCTGGAGCCCAAGGTGCTGGACCCCACCGGTCAAGCTCCTGTGTGGAGAGAAGCAGCTCTCCAAGGAGTGAATCTTCAGTGGGGTCCGCCGGCTGAGCAAGAGCTGCTAGGGCAGCACACAGCCGCTGGATGGCTTCTTCAAGGTGACCAGTCTTGGTCTTCAGCCACGCACAAGGAGCCAGAGCCCAAGGGTTCCACGAAGAAGGCAAAGCTGGGGGTGCTGGGGAAGTTAAAAAGGGGGAAGTAAACTGCTGTACCCCTTGTCCCCAAAGCACCTGCCTCTGGTCCCTTCAGAAGCCTAAGCTAGGAAAGGCCACAGGGCTGGGGAGGGCTCCACCCTTCTCAGTAGTGCTTTCCTTTGCCTTGGTGTTGTGGCAGGAAGGTCACAGAGCTGCTGCTTTCTCTTGTAGCTCAGGAAAGTGTCATGCTCAAACCTGGGCTCAGGCAGGGTAAAGGACAGTGGATACATTGTGACCTGACAGTGATAGCCATGTGTTATAAAGCAGGAAGACAGAGGGGAGTGGTAGGGCAGTGGTTTCTTGGCTGGCCTGCTGGGGGCCCATGGGAGGCCAAGGTAGAACCACACTGTACTCTCTCTGGTTCAGCCTCCATCCCCTCTAGAAGGAGGGAAGAACTTCTGAGAGCAGGAAGCCCTGCGTTTGGCAACAAAGGTTTAACCACTGGCTGCATCTTGAGGTGGGTGGGAACTTGAACTCGCTATGTGATGTGTTAAGGTGTTATTCAGAGGAGTAAGTCGGTGAGCTCTTGCAGCCTTTCTGGGCAGTTGACCGAGTTGAGCCTGGGATTAGACACTGGTTTCTTATGCTGTTTTTGTTGTAAAGATATGTACAGGAAAAACAATAAAGTGGTAAAATTGTCCTGAAAATAAACAATCAAGTGAAATAAAATGTAAAGCAAGATGTAATTCTGCAAGAAAAGAGCGACAGACCCTATGAGAGGGCAGTGACAGTGGAAAATATTCATTGAAACCCTGAAGCAGCTTCAGTCAGTTACCTACTTGGCCCCTGTATGCATTTCAGTTTCCGGTCCAATAGTTTTGTTTCGAGACAGGGTCTCACTATGCAGTTCTAGTTGGTCTTGGATTCACTACGTAGCGAACTTGTAATGATCCTCCTGCCTTAGCCTCTTTGGTGGGATTACTGGCATGCGCCCAAGGAATTGGAAGAACATCTCATCCCAAGTAGACTATGTGCAAGCTGAGTCCCAAATATAAGCAAATAGCTTCAGTTTCTTCATCTGTGATAAGAGAAAGGCAATTTCAACTTTATAGGTTGGTCTGTGAGCTTCCAGTGCAGTAATTCACGTTAACTTTTTTGAAATATTAATTGTGCGAGACAAATGCTGGTTCATTCAGGCACAGCCTCATTTAAAATTTTATCCTTTATTCACACTGATCTAGGGAGTCATTTCGCAGGGTAAAATATGACCATTGTACCTGTTAAACCAAAGTGACTCCATTTTGTCTAACATCCCCGTTTTGTCTACTAGAGCTTCTTGTCTGTGAGAATCTGTCCTCTGATTAACCTTGTAAAACTACCCCTGGTGACAGTTCATATTTAAAAAAAAAAAAATGTTCCGAGAAAAACTGCAAAATATATCCTGACATCGTCCCCACCCATTAACCGCTAATCTGCTTCTGTAACATGAGCTTTGCCTCCCTGCCAAGTTCCTGCTCGCAGCTCTGTAAAAACCCCTGAGTTTGAATGCCCAGGACACTTCTCTGAACAGAGTTGGGTCCCGGCCGGTTTGAATAAAATTTTGTCCTTCTTGGCTTGCACTTTCTCCTCTGGTTGATACAAGTGTACCAAGGAATCTATTCAAGATGAGACACCTGAATCTGTCAGGAACACAAAATACATGAGGGGGTGTGGCGCCTTCAGCCTAGTACGCATGTGCAGCTATGAAAGCTGTTAGGTCTGCCCTCGGCGCCTGATTAAAATATTTAATTTGGGCTGACAAAAGTCTCATAGCGTACTATAGGTATTTTTACTTTTATTATAAATGCCCTTACATTATTATTAATTTCTGGGGCAGGCTAAAGCATGTATTCCTATTGAGGTGCCTTTTGTCCCATTGTAAACTCATTGCAGTTAAGGAGGATGATGTAATTTCTGCGCCAAAACAACAAATCTTCCCACCTCACAGGGCCGTGGGGACCGTAGAAGACCACTTAAACTCAGGCACTTCCATAGTTACCTATTTTCTTGGGGGCGGTGCCACGTGTGGACCCCACGGACCCCGGCGACACCGCCATGTTGAATCTTTCCTAAAGGGTTTTGTACTGGCTTTTCGCGCTTCTGCGGCCGTCGCTCCGCGCGGTGTTGCCGGACAGGATGAATGTGATAGACCATGTGCGGGACATGGCAGCCGCGGGGCTGCACTCCAACGTGCGGCTTCTCAGCAGCTTGTTACTGACAATGAGTAATAATAACCCGTGAGTTGAGTCGGGGAGCGCCCTGGGGCAGAGGAGAGAGCGGCGGCGATTTGGGAGCGGGGGGCTGAGGTGGTGCGGGCGGAGCCGACTTGGGGCGCGCGTTGAGCTCCCCCGAGCCGGCGCCTTTTTTGCCGGCGCCTTGAGGGGACGCGGCCTACGCGGAGGCTCCGAGGTCCCAGGCCCCGGGTTCGGGCTGCTTCCTGAGGCACCCGTCGCCGGCGCAGCGACTGTTATCTCGCTGGGCTGAGTCTTCCCCCTCTCCTGGCTTCTTCCCGAAGGACATTTCCTTGCTGCCGCTCATTGAAACCTGGTCCCTTGGTTTTTTTGTGCCTTCATCCTACATTTGGGATTGGTGTTTACCACTGAGTGCCTCGCGAGGTGGTTGAGAGCTGCACCTGAGACGGATTCTCACGAGCTGTAGGAGCAGTGCTACTGCCTTGCATTGAGGCTGCCGTGCTTTGAGGCTTAGACCGAACACAGGCCTTCTTCCATTAAGTGGCTTGAAATCTTCCATTACCCTACCATTCTTTCTCGGGGCTCTTGAAGCCAAGCCTTCGCTTTACTAGCTGAGTGATTCCATCACCTGGCTCTGTCCAGGGTACTCCAGCCTCCCTGGCCAGAGCTTGTTCTCACCTGTGGGAGTTTTGCCCTTGCTGCTCCTGATGCTTCATTCAGATTTCACCTCAGATATCCCTCGCAGGGATCCTTCTTTGACTAAAATGGTCCTGTTCTCCCACTTTCTTGTTCCATGCCCCTGTTTTGTTCTTTGTGTCATCTATTCAAGAAGCGCAGTGCCTGTGTGTAGTCCCTGAAAGTGCCTAAGAAATGTGTACAACCTCAGGGAGATGAAGTACTTTAACCAAGTTCACATGTCTAGTAAGTCTCCTTGGGCTTCAGAATCTTCCTTCTGTGGAGTGGAGTAGACAGTGCCTCCAAATGGCGTGGTGGGATCTTCTGCTCTGTGTGTTCCCATTTGCATTTGGCGGGCTTCACCAGCTGCTGTAGGTCAGAAAGGAAAGGCCTGTGAATGCCTGAATGCAGCTTCTGCTCCCAGTTTCATTTTTATCACTATGCTCTGGACTCAGCAAGATGCATCATTTTACCACCATCCACTTGGTGTTGACAGTAAGGAGCACTGGTCTCTGTCAGCCTTCTTTTGTTTATTCTGGAGCCTTCTTTTGGTTCTGAATGATCTGTCAAAGCGTACAGTTTCCATTATTGGGGATTAACACGGTAGTCATTACTCTTGGTTCTTGAAGATGTTACGAGATAGCTTGAAGCGGTTTGATTCTCTGGCTAGACTTCGTTAGTTGGTATATACCTTTTCATATTTAGTTAGATTAGCGGTTTCTTTGCTTCCAGAGGCATTCTGACCTTTATTATTTTGAAACTTTTTTTCAGTAGTTTTGCCTTTGTGGTTTTTTTTTGTTTGTTTGTTTTTTGTTTTTGAGATGAGGTCTTGCTGTGCAGTTCAGGCTTGCCTTGAACTCATGATGTAGCCCAGGCTGACCTTGAACTTTAAGTGATCCTTCAGCTTCCTAAGGGCTGGGTATTGGAATTGAACCTTGCATTTGCAAGGCAGGCAGCGGAATCACTGAGCTAAATACCCACCCCATTCTATTCTTTCATTGACATTTTCTTTAGTATTTGAGGAGTTTTGGGGTTCATAATTCAAAGTGATGAAGTTTTTCTTTTCCAGGTCTTCAGCCCTTCTTTGGTAATATTAAATTATTGTGGTCACTTCTCTTTGTAACTGTTTCTTTCTTTCTTTCTTTCTTTTTTTTTTTTTTTTTTTTTTTTTTGAAACAGGGTCTCACTCTGAAGTTGAGACTGACCTGGAACTCACTATGTAGCCCAGGCTGGTCTCGAACTCACAGCGATCCTCCTGCCTCAGCCTCCACCGTGCTGGGATTACAGGCATTCTTTGTAACTGTTATCCTTTACATTTGTTATTAGCTGGGGATGGTGGCATATACCTATAATACCAGCTGATTGTGAGGCAATAGGATTGATAGTTTGAGGCCAGTTTGGGCAATTTAGTGAGAACCTGTCTCCAAATAAAATTTAAAGCTAGGCATGGTAACTCATGCCTGTTATCTCAGCATTCTGGGAGGCTGAGGCAGGAGGATTACAAGTTTGATCCCAGCCTGGATAAGCAATTTAGTGAGACCCTGCCTCAAAATGAAATAAAGGAAAAAGAAGGGCTGGGGATGTAGTTTATTATGAAGACCCTGGGTTCTGCCCCTAGTACAAACAAACAGTAAATGGAGTTAGAGCCTGGTGTGCTATAATCTCAGCACTGGGAGGCTGGGGCAGGAGAATTGTAGTCTAGGCTACATAGCAAGTTCACCTGAAACTACTTAGAACTGTCTTTAAAAAAACAGAAGGGCTGGGCCAGGGATTTAGCTCAGTGCCTCTGTTCCTGCCTTGTAAGTACAAGGTCCTGAGTTCAATAAAAAAAAAAAAAAAAAAAAAAATGTTGGAGATGCAGCTTAGTATAGAGTGGTTCAGGTGCTTGTGTTCAATCCCAAGTATCAGAACACACGTGAAACAACCTTTGAATGGGTAATATATCAGACTGTTAAGATGGCTTGGATTAGAGAAGGTGAGGAAAAGATGTATCATGTTTTCTTTATATAGTTCTGTATTACTGGATTTTGTTTATAGGTATCATTGCTTTTTTTTTTTCCAGTACTGGATATCAAACTCAGGACCTTGAGCTTGTGAGGCAGGAGCAGTGCCACTGAGCTAAATCCCTGACCCTATATCATTGCTTTTTTAGGAAGTAAGAAAACTATTTAAGTCTGTTATTTAATATAGTGTCCTAAGATGTGTTCACCATTGTTTGACTTTCATGCATATCCTTTTAGGGACTAGTGCTTAAGGAATTTAATATTTTGTGAACTTGTTATACAAGGCTTTGCGCTAGGTTTCTGTGAACACTAAGGAGCTGTTTTCTGACATTGCAAAATAACCCATGTAGGGGTATGCTTTCTTTGTTTTCTAGTGAGTTGTTCTCCCCATCTCAGAAGTACCAGCTTTTGGTATATCATGCAGATTCTCTCTTTCATGATAAGGAATATCGGAATGCTGTGAGTAAGTATATCATGGCTTTACAGCAGAAGAAAGCCCTAAGTAAAACTTCAAAAGTGAGACCTTCAACTGGAAATTCTGCATCGACTCCACAAAGTCAGGTAATTGAAAATAGAATTGATTTTTGTTTTTTGGAGAAAGACCAAAACATTTTCTTTTCTTTCCTGTTCTGGGCTTGAACCCAGGGTCTTGTGCATGCTAAGACAAGTGTTCTAATGGACCAGGGATTTAGCTCAGTGATACCCCCACCTGCCTTGCCAGTGCAAGCCCCTGGTACCAAAAAAAAAAAAAAAAAAGACAAGTGTTTTACCGTTGAGCTGTACTCTTAAGCTCCAAGACTGAACTGATTTAGAAGATGGCTAAGATTAGTTATAGCAGATGGTAAAATATGTAACTTAAAGGGCAAAAATTTAGATACAAGACTGTGTTCAGTGATTAATCTTCATCTTGTATTTCTCCTTATGTAAAAACCTTTGCTTTCTTTTTTCTTTTTTGGTACCAGGGATCGAACTTGGGACCTTATGCTTGTGAGAGAGGTGGCAGAACCTCTGAGCTAAATCCCCGGTCCTAACCTTTGCTTTCTGAATTCAGGAATGGAAGTCATGTATATCATCCAGATAGGATCATTCATAAAAATAATTAACATTAGCAAGGTGTGGTGGGACATGACTATAATCTCAGCACTTGGGAGGCTGAAGCAGGAGGATCTCTCAGAGTTTGAGGCTAGCCTGGACTACATAGTGAATTCAAGGCCAGCCTGAACTATATAGCAATACCGTCTCAAAAAATAGGAAAAAAAAATAGCTTACATTTAGTATTCAGTGTATCAAGCAACATGCAAAACTTTTCATGAATGCATTGAATCATCATGGATTTATTTGGGTTTTTTGTTTGTTTTGATTTTTTGAGACATTGTCTTGCTATGTAATCCAGTCTCGCTTGAATTTGTGATGACCCTACTGCCTCAGCCACCTAAATGCTGGTATTATAAGCATGCACCACTATGCCTGGTGTACACTTTTTGTGTTTTGAGACAGGGTCTTGCTATGTAGTTCAGGCTGGTCTTGAACTCATTATAGTATATCTTAAACTGGCCTCAAACTTGCTGCAATCCTCCTGCCTCAGCTTCCCAAGTGCTGAGATTATAGGCATGTGCTACCACATCCAGCTTATTCTGTTTTTTTAATGTGTGTGTGTGTGTGTGTGTGTGTTTGCTGGGGGTACCAGAGAGCAAACTTGGGTCCTTCTGCTTGCAAGGCAGGTGGCAGAACCACTGAGCTAAATCCCCCCCGGCCCTGTTTTATATTTTTTTGTAACAGAGTCTTCTAGTTTAGGCTGGCCTGGGATTCCTTATGAAGCACAGGCTGACTTTGAACTTGGGATTCTCATATCTCATCCCCCTGAGTGCTAGAAGTACAGGCTTATGACACCATGCTCTGCTACAATTTTGTAATAATTTGAAATATATAGTTTATGTGCCTTTAAAGTGCAATTTAATGGGCATAGATTGTGCAACCATCAGTGCTGTCTAATTTCTGAAAAATGTAATTGCCCTAGAGAGAATCCCATGTTTTTTAACAGTCTACATTTCCACTCATCTTTCCACCTCCGACAGTCACTAACCTTTGTCTTTTTATGTGCTGACTATTCTGAATGTTCTGTATGAATGTAATTGTACAATATGTGGCCTTCTGTGTATGTGTCTGGCTGCCTTCACTTAGCATGTTATTTTTAAGGTTGATCTGTTATGGCATGAATCAGCTTTTTATTCCTTGTTAGTGCCAAATACTCCCTTTTACTGGATATGCCACATTTTGTTTACCTATTGATGAGTTGAGGGACATTGATTATTTCCACTTTTTGGCTATGAACAATGCTGCTCTGAACATTTGTGTATAAGTTTTGTCCTGGATAGCTGTTTTCAGTTCTCTTGACTATATTCCCGGGGGCAGAACTGCTAGATGATATAATAGCTCTGTATTTAATGTTTTGAAGAACTGCCATTCTGAAGAGATATAGAATGAATGCCACACATTTTGAAGAGTTGTGTTCCTTGTCTCCTAGTGTCTTCCATCTGAAATTGAAGTGAAGTACAAAATGTCTGAATGTTACACAATGTTAAAACAAGATAAAGATGCCATTGCTATACTTGATGGGATCCCCTCAAGACAGAGAACTCCCAAAGTAAGTTGAATTAATAGATTGTTATGAATTTTTCTCCTTCCCAGCCCTCCCAACCCTGCTTTTCCCATGTCTTCTCTCTGTTAGGAGGTCCGTCTGAGCATTTTACTCATGACTCTAGCTCTCACTTTCTTCCTCTATGAATAGGTTAGGGATTGAGAGAGGTGGATGAATTATATTCTTAAGAGACTTTTAAAACTCAGCTGATGCAGATGATAGCTGGACAGTACTACAAGTGCATATTCTTTTTTTATTTCTTGCTATAGGGCATAGTGATTTGCAGAACCCATCCACAGCCAGATGCACTCAGAGGCTGAGGCAAAAGGATTACAACTTTAAACCCAATCTGGACAACTTAGCAAGAAAGACCCTGTCTCAAAATAAGTAAAAAATGACTGGGCTGGGGATTTAGCTCAGTGGTTCCGCCTGCTGCCTCACAAGTGCAAAGTCCCAAGTTTGATCCCTAGTACCAAAAAAAAAAAAAGCTGGGGATATAGCTCAGTATGAAGGCCCCGGGTTCAATTCTTAGTACCACAAGAACTTCCAGGTAGCAAAAACACTTTTTTAGAGCTTAATTTTTTGCATTATCAAATTGTGTTTGAGTTGACATCATATTATAGTGAAAAATGTACCTTTAACTGAAATCAGAAAATCTAGGGTCTTTTGAGTTTAGGGCATATGACCTATGTGCGTGTGAACTTGACAAGTTACCAATCTCTGAGAATCCCCACCCCCTCTTATTTTAAAGCAAGGATAAGTGTTTTTTCTATATGTATTTCTGTATGTGTGTTTTTCTTTGTGTAAAAATAACCTTTCTCTTTTTCTTTGCATGCTATGGATCAAACCCATGAGTTAGTGTACACTAGGAAAATGCTCTACCAGTGTAGCTCTACCAGTGAGCTACATTCCTAGCCACACAGCCACCTCATGTATACACAAGGGCTTGTACATACTGGTCAGTTTTTAGTAGAAGGGTCTTGCTGTGTAGTGCTGGCTGGCCTTGAACTCACAATCATCCTACCTCAGCCTTGCCATTGCTGGGACTGCAGCAATGTATCATCACACTTGGCTGCCATGAAAATACATTCTAAGTACTATTCTAAGTAGACTGGCTGGCTGTCAAAACTTTTTCTCAAGGGCAATTTGAATCTTTGCTGTTAGGGTTAAATGCATATCAGTAGTTACTATTCTGACATACTCTCATGTCACTTATCATTTTCATTTTTTGAAAAACTGTTGTGAGCCGGGCATGGTGGCACATGCCTATAATCCCGGCACTCAGGAGGCTGAGGCAGGAGGATCGCTGTGAGTTCGAGACCAGCCAAGGCTACATAGTGAGTTCCACGTCAGTCTCAACTACATAGTGACAACCTGTCTCAAAGAAAAAAAAACAAAAACAAAAAGAAAAAGAAAACCTGTGTGCAACTTGTTTAACAGTAGGGAATTTTATTGGTAAGATGTCTGTGTATATCCTCTTATCCATAAAACATAAGGAAACTAAGCAATAGGGAGCTCATGCATTTTAGTACTTCATCTAAATGTTGATAAGTTTTAAAGGTTTCAAACTTGATGAGAACATATTTAAGTACTTCCTTATATTAAGAAACTGTTTATTGAATATTGGGGTGCATGTGTGTGTGCCTACATGTTTGCATGTGCATCGAGGCTGGAACCCAGGGCCTCAAGCATGCTACAGTCATGCTGTACCACTGGGCTGCGGCCCCAGCCTTATTTTCTGAGTTTTAAAACTAAGATGTTTCCTTAGTATATTTTATGATGGTGCCTTCTGTTAAAAACACTTGGAAATTTATCATGAACTAACCTGTCTCATAATTAACTTGAATGCTAGGGTTTTTGTTTTTGTTTTGTTTTTTGAGACAGAGTCTTATTAAGTTGCTCATGCAGGACTCAAATTCTCCTGTCTTAGCTTCCCTCTATGCTGGGATTACAGGCATGTGTTACCATGTGTGCATAGTTGGATGCTACATATTAAATTGTGTTCTAGTATCCTGGGAAAGTCTTCTTACCGTAAGAATAATTTTTTTGTGTGTATGAAGAATATCTGCTGCTGTACTCTTTTTTTTTTTTGGTACTGGGGCCCATCCTTGCCCTTGCAAGGCAGGCGGCGGAACCACTGAGCTAAATCCCTGGCCCACGTCTTTCCTTTAGAAGAAGCCTTTTTTGCAGTACTGAAAGTTGAACCCAAGGGCTTGTACACATTAGGCAACTCTGTACCACTGAGCTATTATCTCTGCCCCTTTTTATTTACTCTTTACTTTGAGATAGTGTCTTAGTAAGTTGCCCAGGCTGGGTCAAACTCCCCTTCTTCCTCAGCCTCCCAAGTATCTGGGATTACATATATGTGCCATCCCATCTGACTTTTGAAGCTGTTTTTGTTATAGGCTGGGTGTTTTGGTTTTGTTTTTTGTTTTGTTTTTTTTGAGACAAGGTCTCACTATGTAGTTGAGTCTGACCTGGAACTCACTATGTAGCCCAGGCTGGTCTCGAACTCCCAGCGATCCTCCTGCCTCAGCCTCCCGAGTGCTGGGATTACAGACATGCGCCACCACTCCCGGCTGGGTGTTTTTGGTTTTGTACTGGGGATCGAACAAGCCATTTTTATTATAAACATTGACTAATACTGTTACATGTTTTACTAGAAACACCATGATTTCCTTCATAATGACTTGCAGGTATTTGGGGACATATTTTTGGAAAATGAGAAATGCAGAGAAGTTTGGCTTTGGGGCATCCAATGCTTGATGCTTTCAGTCCTCATTCTTAGAGGGACTTGAGTGTTTGTTAGTGTATGTATCTTTCTCACATTAGAGCTCGTGTAGACAGGAATAAGCAAATGTGTGTATCTCCAAAGTAAACCTATAACATTTACAGTTTTCTTTCTTGCCTGTTAGGTAGTTAGCTGGCTTCTCAGTCTGTGTAAAGGACAAGGAAATGAGTCAGAACACATCTAATTGAACATCTGTTGATATATAGTAAACACCACACACATTCCCTCACATTTTAAATGAAAATTCCAGTGTTTGATTATATTTTGGGGCTGAGGATTTAGCTCAGGTGGTGCTGCTGCCTGCCTCACAAGTGCAAGTCCTGAGTTCGATCCCTGGTACATCCCCCACAAAAAGAAAGAGAGACTTCATGTCTAAAGAGTTGAAGATTTACCCAAATATAGCAGTCTTTTTTTTGGTACTGGAGATGGAACTTGGGACCTTATGCTTACGAGGCAGGCATTGGAACCACTGAGCTAAATCCCTGGCCCTCAACTTTTTGGAAGTAAAACATACCAACTTAAAATTTCAACTGCTTCTCTTTGTAACTGTTTTAAGAAGAATTGACCTTTTTACTAGATAGTACTTGAAACTCATTCTTTCAGAGTGACAGTCAAGTAGCTTAAAGGAAACTTGGTATTTGTTGAAATTTATTTCTCTCTCTCTCTTTTTTGAGTCATGGTCTCCCTATGTAGTTCAGGCTGGCCTTGAACTTACTATGTGGCCTATGCTGGCTTCGAATTTATAGCAGTTCTCCTGCCTCAGCCTTCTGGGTCCTGAGATTACAGGTTGTTGAGATTTCATCAATTTGTTGTTAATAAGCAGTAAAATTTTATACACTTTGAAATGTTGATACCCTGAAATTTCCCTTTGCATTTTCAAAATAGGCTAAAACGGATATCTGAGGCCACATGAAAAATTTTATTTCTAGTATTTTATTATTTCACTGCTTGAAGTAGTATGGATTAATGATACACTAAACTTGTATAATGTAGCTGTATTATTGGAACTGATGTTGTTTTTCAGAGCCATTCTTTCCTTTTTTTTTTGCAGTACTGAGGATGGGAACCCAGGGTCTTGCACATGATAGGCACGCACTGTACCACTGAACTATGTTCCTGGCTCTTTTTAAAAACTTGAGTTGAATCTAGCTAAGCTGCCCAGCTGGCCTCAAGCCTCAGCCTCCCAAGTAGCTGGGATAACAGGCATGGGGCCCTGCACCTGTCTCAGAGCAACTCTCTTTTTTTTTTTTAGTGTTTGTAATACAGAGCAGTGATGTTTGTTTTGGGGAATAAGTACATGTATATAGCATAGTTTGATCATTTGCAAGAGCTGTTCTTTTTTTTGGTACCGGGGATTGAACTTGGGTCATTGCGCTTGCAAGGCAGGCCACCGAACCGCTGAGCTAAATCCCTGGCCCTGCAAGAGCTGTTCTTAGTAAATACCTGGCATGCCAAGTCACAGATAATTGAAGATATGGTATATGGCACCTCAGTTCATGAACACTTTTGTTTGTAGTTTGGTTCTCAAAAAAAATTTTTTTTTTTTGAGACATGGTCTCACTATGTAGTTGAGACTGACCTGGAACTCACTGTGTAGTCCAGGCTGGTCTAAAACTCACAGCGACCCTCCTGCCTCAGCCTCCCAAGTGCTGGGATTACAGGCCTGCACCACCAGGCCCGGCTTCAAACAGAAATGTTTAGCAAAATTGTTTTTGTTTGCATTGGGTGACAAACATGACTGCAGCCATCTTTCCTCCATAAATACAAACATGGCCATCTTTTCCAAAATCACAAAACAAATTAATTTAGTGAACTAAGATAGCGATGTATTGAGGACTCTTGTGTGTGTGTATGTGTGCCCATGTGTTGACTGCTCCTGTTATGTTAATTGGCCCAATCACTGTGTTGTGTTTAAGATCTATAGAATTTATTTTATTTTAAAATTTTATTTATTTTTGAGACAGGGTCTCACCGTATAATTCAGGCTGGCCTTGAACTCACTGTGTAGCCCAGACTGGCTTTGACTTTGCAGTGATCCACCTGCCTCAGCCTCCAAGTGCTGGGATTTGCAGGTGTGTGCGCCCACCCTGGGCAAGAACTTTTAGTTTTAAATTGGAACATTGTGCTTTTTTCTCTTTGTACTGTTAAGAAGATCATTTATCCCTCCCGTCATTTCTAATTTTTCCTGTTGTATATTTAGGAAGAATTGTTTTAAGATTTCTGCTGGGCGTGGTGGCACATGCCTATAATCCCAGCACTCGGGAGGCTGAGGCAGGAGGATCGCTGTGAGTTCGAGACCAACCTGGGCTACATAGTGAGTTCCAGGTCAGTCTCAACTACATAGTGAGACACTGTCTCAACCAAAAAAAAGAAGAAGAAGAAAAAAGATTGCTTTACTAAGTTACATCTTTAAATTGTGTTAAAATGCAGATGTCTGCACTCACTGGATTTAAATGTAGCTAATCTCTGGATCATTGTCTTTCTGGAGGTGAATTTGAGTTTGATTTTTGTAGTATTACTTTGGTGAGTCAGACAGTACATCTGGATCAAAGCTTTAGATGTTAGAGGAGAATCTAATCACTAATCTGATTGCCAAGTATTTTACCTCTGTGTGTATCAGTTCTTTTTGGGGGAGAATCTGTCTGATCTTCTTAACTGGCCATGTCAAGAATTTCTCACTTTATTATGCTTTAATGTTAATTGAATTTAAATATGTAAAATTGAGCACTTTTAGAATAGTTTATCTGCTCTCTTAAGATGAAGAAAGAATCGGGCCGGGGATTTAGCCTAGTGGTTCCGCCGCCTGCCTCACAGGTGCAAGGACGTGAATTCAATCCCCGGTACCAAAAATAAAAAAATAAAAAAAAGATCAAGAAAACATCAAGGTAACTAGAATTTTGGAGTGTTTCTCTCATGAATATATATTTTGGTTAAATGAGAGGGTAATGTGACTTTCCTTTTAGCATTGGGAGGACCTAGGAAAAGCAAAGATAGTAATTCTTTATTTTGAAGAATAGGGTTTATCTTTTTTATTATTATTATTATTGGCACAGGGCTATTGGTAGATTTTTCCAGTAAAAGTAGAATAGTAGCTGGTAATAAAAACCAGGACATTTTTATGATGAGATATTTTCTTTGCATATGTGCTTACTTTATTTTTCTTTGTTTTTATTTATATAGATAAACATGATGCTGGCAAACCTATATAAGAAGGCTGGTCAGGAGCGCCCATCAGTCACCAGCTACAAGGAAGTATTGAGGCAGTGCCCGCTAGCCCTGGATGCCATTCTAGGTATAGATAATTTTCTACCATTTTCCTGGAGTGTTTACTGTCAGAGAGAGTATTTCTCAATTCATGGGTGTACATTAGTTTTTTTCCAAAAGTTTCCTGCAGACCAGGCATGGTGGTACATGCCTGATTGCCAGTTTGAGGCCTGCCTGGACAGCTTAATGAAGTTCTGTTTCAAAATAAATAGCTGGGCATCGTGGCACACACCTATAGTCCTAGCACTCGGGAGGCTGAGACAGGAGGATCACTGAGATCTCAAGGCCAGGCTGAACAACATAGCCTGTCTCAAAAATTCATAAATAGATGAATGGGCTATACATATAGCTCAGTGGTAAAGGATTCCTGGGTTCAATCCCCCGTACCACCAAAAAAAAAAAAAAAAAAATCTGCATTGTCTCATATTGAATGAAGAAATATTAAATAATTTTTTTTTTTTTCCTTTTTGGTACTGGGGATAGAGCTTAGGACCTTGCGCTTGCGAGACAGTCAGTGGAACCACTGAACTAAATCCCCAGCCCTTAAATAATCTTTTGCTGCTAAGGGTGTAGCTCATGGTAGAGGATATGCTTATCTTGCTGGAGAACATGGGTTCCATCCGCACCACCAAAAATTAATAATTAGGGGCCGGGGATTTAGCTCAGTGGCACCACACCTGCCTCACAAGCACAAGGTCCTGAGTTTGATCCCTGGTACAAAAAAATTGTAATAATAATTAAATTGTTTTTTCTGTTGTGTGCATGTTAATCAGAATAGGGCAGGGACTGCCTTGCAGTCTGTGAAAGTATAGTTTGTTTTTGCACTGTGGAAGAGGGATGATGTTCCTCACCTTCTTTTCCCTGCTTTCTGTTGGGTTAGGTTTGTTGTCCCTTTCTGTAAAAGGTGCAGAGGTGGCATCAATGACAATGAACGTGATCCAGACCGTGCCTAACTTGGACTGGCTCTCTGTGTGGATCAAGGCATATGCTTTTGTGCACACTGGTGACAACTCAAGGGCAATCAACACCATCTGGTGAGAGGCACAGCATTGGTTCAGTATTCTTGAGGCTTCTGTCTGGATGGCTTGTGCTTACAATAGTAGTACAGAAAAGTGTGACCCTTACACAGTGGTGCAGTCAGTTATCTTTGGGTTGTGTTACTCTCATGAAGTCCTGAGTGACTGAGGACATAATCATCTCTTCTGGGAATGCATAAAATGGAAAGCTGGACTGAACTTAGTTTTGGACATGCAAAGGTCAACCCCCTCCCAGAGTAGCCTGAAGCCAAAAAGAATTTAGCAACTTAATGAGACTGTCTGCTTTTTGTTACGTTTTTAAATAAAGAGTTGAGGATGTTGTAGTTCAGTGTAAAATTTTGGGTTCAATCCCGAGTACTACCAAAAAAAAAAAAAAACATATTGGCATGTGCTGTGGAAGAAACCTTTCTAGTCTCCTCACAAAAATAGTTTATTGTGGTACCTGGGCTTTATTTTTATTCAGATAATAAAGTCCTAGGACAAGAGGCTGGGGTTTTTTGGGGTACAGAGTCAACAGTTGAGTAATAAGTAGCTGTCATTTATGAATGACATCTCATTCAATACTATGTAGTTTATTTGGCCCTCTGAAAAACTATAACTAAAAAGTTTTTAGGTAGCGAACAGTATCTGATTTATTTACTATCCTAGCAGTATAACTTTTTAAAAACCATAAGCTCAGAATTTTAAAAAATCTAATGTAAACAGCTTAAAAGTTTTTTTAGCCCGACATGGTGGTGCATACATCTAATCCCAGCACTCAGGAGGCTGAGACAGAAGGGTCACCACAAGCCAACTTGAACTACGTAGCAAGTTCAAGGCCAGTCGAGAACATACAGTAAGACCCCATCTCCAAAAAAAATTTTATTACGAAAAACAGAAAATAGTATCTATATCGTAGTCTCCCAAATTCAACAACTAAGTATTTAATAATAGGTTTTAAAGTTTATTGTTTAATATCTTAAGTTCACTAGAGAAAAAGTCCCTGTTGCGAGATAATGTGGACTTGCTGGGAAGCTTAGCAGATCTGTACTTCAGAGCTGGAGACAACAAGAACTCTGTCCTCAAGTTTGAGCAGGCTCAGATGCTGGACCCTTATCTAATAAAAGGTGAGTCATTCCTGGGGCAGGGCAGGAGGGGCTGGAGGGGCAGGTCAGAGAAGGCAGCAGGAAATACAGTGTGAACTGATAGTGTTTTTCAGAGCGGGGTTTTAAGATTTATTATAGTAGTCTTTTACTATTTTTAAGTCCTGGCACACGTCTCTAACACTGGTAATTCCATTTTAAGCAGTTATTTTTGCTTGAATTTAAGTGTCATCTCCTTGCACATCATTATTTGGCAGTTTTTCTTTTGGTGGGAATCATAACTCTTCCTTATGAATTATAAATTTATGATGTGCCAGACTGAGTATTTGTATGACAACCCCAGAACCATAATATCCTTTTAGGGAGTTTCACGTCTTTTTCCCCCATGATTAAGAGGGGTAATAGAACACTTATTAAAAGGATAAGTTGCCGGGGTATGCCTGTAATCCTAGCACTTGGGAGGCTGTGGCAGGAGGATTGCCCTGAGTTTGAGGTCAGCCTGGACTACATAGTGAGACCCTGTCTCAAAAAAAAAAAAAAAAAAAAAAAAAAAAAAAAAAACCCACAAAAGCAAAACCAGAAAAAGGTGTGTGTCAGGGGGAGGTGAGGGTGTGGGGTAGGGTAATTAAAGGCAATAATTAATAGCAAACAAAAGATTGCTCTGATGGAGTAAGGACAGGGACTTTACAAGCTGGCTGCTGGGTGTGAGTGCTCAGGAACAGTGGGAGCTGAGATCAAATAAGCTGATACCTGTTTGTAAAGGCCCAAAAAAGGCCAAGAAAAATATGCATCCTGACAATGAATAGTTTTGTAGACTGTAGAGAGACCAAGCAGAGAGTGGACCTTCACAAGCACGTAGATGAGAACAGATACAGGATCATGAATTTGTTTGTAAGGCCACTCTCTTGCCTGGTGCTTGTGCCTCTTCTCCATGCGTCTGTGTCCATGATGAAAGTGTTTTAGAAATGCTCTTCTGGTGGCAGTGGCAGCTTGGAGTCCAGGGCCCAGCAGGAATATTGCTGTAATCTTGGCTTGAGAGAAGTTTTTATGGGAGTCTTAAGGAACAGCAAGGAATGGAGGATGGTGATAAGAGGGGGTGACAGGCCTTTCTATAGACCATGAGGGACAGCGGCTGGAGATGTGGGTGTGGAGGAACTGCAGTGGACCCTTGACTTACCAACTTGATCGGTTCCTGAGGGTTTGTTGTAACTACAGTTGGTTGTAAGTCAGTACAGCTGAGATCTGGATGTTTACCTGGGTACATGCTATAGATAACGAGAGGCAGATGAACCTTCCATTAACCTAATTAACCCAGGTTCTTCATGTCTTCTCCTGGACTCAGCCCACTTGTGAGAATAACCTGGCCTTTTCACCAGAGCAAGTGTGCGTTCTCACTGCAAAGAGCTCCTGGGAGACAGCACTTGATGCCTTTTTGGGGCCTTTTCTGATTATAAGTTTAGGACAGCTGTGTATATCGCACTACAGATACAGGGACAGCAGTTCATGAAAAAACAACTTTTCAGATTGTTAGGTCGGTCTTTCTGCTCTTTTGCTTTATTTTGGGTGGGCTTCGCTTTTTAATAGTCATTTTGTAGCAAAGTGGCAACACTGGTGGGAGGAGCCCATGATGATGGAAAGGCTTGAACCCTGCAGCCGCTGGGGATTCAACTTGAGCTCTGCTTGGTGTTTCCTGCTCCTTTGTTAAGGAGCCCGCTGTTGTAATGAAAGATCCTCCTCTGTCATGTCCTTCCTTTTAGGAATGGATGTGTATGGCTACCTCCTGGCACGAGAAGGGCGGCTGGAGGATGTGGAGAACCTCGGCTGCCGCCTCTTCAATATTTCTGATCAACATGCAGAGCCCTGGGTGGTCTCTGGGTATGTCGTGTTTTCTTTCATTTGATGCTTTAAGCAGTGGTGGTTTTTCTAAAGAGGTTTAAGAGGTAATGAGAAATGGATCAAATCATGCCCTGTGACTTTAGGTGCACACACACCTCTCTGAATCGGTTTCTTTGTTGTTAGTGTTGTTTTTGGTACTGGGGATCGATCTCAGGACCTTGTGCTTGTGAGACAGGCAGTGGAACCACTGAGATAAATCCCCAGCCCTCTGAAGCTGTTTCTTATTTGGAGAAGGGGTTACTAACCCTTGCTTCTGGAGGTGACACTAATGGGGATGGTGAACACCACCCAGTGATAGGGTTAGAGGCGCTCCTTATTGTCTTCAGGGCTGGGTGCAGCTCACTAGTAGTGGTTCGTTCACCTAGAATGTGCAGGGCCCTGGGTTTGATCCACAAAATAAAAGCAAATAAACCTATGTTGTAATTGAGCTGGTTTTACAAATCCTTCAAATGTCTTTCAGCTCATAACTTACCTAGATTGGCAGGCTATTTTTCATAATTTTTCCCTTCCATGTCAAGCTTTCTGCTTTAAAGCTAAATATTTAGCCATGCATGGTGGCGTATGCCTGTAATCCCAGCACTCGGGAAGCTGAAGCAGTAGGAATGCTGCAAGTTCAAGGCCAGCATGGGCTACATATACCCTGTCTTAAAACTAATAAACAGGGTGAATATTTTTAGTAGATTTTGGTTTATTTTGCTTTTTCACTAACAGGTTATAGCTGTGAGTATGGTTTGTAATAATCATGTATAAGACCACCTCTTTGATTTGTGGATGAAGCTTCTTCATAGTCCTGTCAAATAACTTCTGATGCTACCCCCCACCCTCAGGTGTCATAGCTTCTATAGCAAACGCTACTCCCGGGCCCTCTACTTAGGAGCCAAAGCCATTCAGCTGAACAGTAACAGTGTTCAAGCCTTGCTACTGAAAGGAGCAGCACTTAGGAACATGGGCAGAGTCCAAGAAGCAATAATCCATTTTCGAGAGGCCATAAGGCTTGCTCCTTGTCGCTTAGATTGTTATGAAGGTAAGTGTGTAGTGTGAATGAACCCTCAAGCACCTGCACTCAGGTGAAAGGTGCCACTAGGCCAGCATCTCCCAGCTGTTGTGTATTAGAACCATCAGGCTGATCTAGCTGCCAAGTGACTGGGTGGAGATGGAGCATAGGGACTGTAGGTTTCTGAAGATTCTCCCTTGTGCTTGTATGCAGATAAACTTTGGAAGTTACTGAATTAGGGCTTTCACTAGAATTTCTCCCCATCCTTTTTAGAATCTTTTATTTGTTTATTTTTGGTAGTTTTGGGGGATAGTTGGGGTAGACACTTGGTCTTTTTTTTTTCCACTTCAAATGTGGCCAGGTGATTAATGAGAATCTGTCAGGCACTGTGCTAGATTTCTTGATTATGTCTTTGTTCTTTTTACAGTTGTCTTATTTGGTTGAGAGATAGTACTCAAAGGGTAACTGCCAGAAGACAGTGTGGGCTGTGGGAACCTGTCTGTCCATTGTGACCCTCAGTGGCACGATTGGGGTTCAGCTTTGTTTTGTTACATAATGTTTTAAGTTCATGTGAACTGACCCTAGGAGTTCAAAGGAGCTGTGCCAGCTTCAGCAACATTTGATGACTCAGTCACAGACATTAAAATAGATCTTAGAAGATGCAGTTCCTCTAAAACATATTTTTATAAGAATTTAAAAATAAACATCAGAATCTAGGAGTGATTTGCTCTTAACAGGAAGATAAGTTCAAATTTGAGAAACAAAATTTGGATGTTGGGGGAGGAACAAATCTGCTTATATAGACAGAGAGCTATGCCTGTTGTGGATTTGTATGGGGAAAGGAGATTGACTTTGTTCTTAAAATAACTCTAGGGGACCAAGGCTTTGGTTTGAGGTTACCTTTTCTTTCTTTCTTTTTTTTTGAGACAGTCTCACTATGTAGTTGAGGCTGGCCTTAAACTCAGTGGTGGTCCTCCTGCTGGGATCACAGGTGTGCGCCACCACACGGGACAGAGGTTAACTTCTTGATGTTGAAAGTGTAGCTTCCCAGCAGCACTGATCGTGCTAACTCCTTTCTGCCACATACCTGTTTCACCTGAGTTAGGGATGCCGATGGTAGCTCTGCTACTGCAGTGCTTGGTTGAGGGGTTTTGGAGCATTTAGGGCAGAAGACGTTCCCCAGTTGGCCAGGGAGGCCTCATGGGCTGCCTTCTCTCTGGCTGTCATGTGGAGGTTGGATCGGATGACTCTGGTTTGCCCTTTGGTGGTCTCCAGTAGTGCTCCCTTCTTTTGCTTGTGGAAACCCTTCATTTGTGAGGGACAGTGTGTATGGTGGGTGAGTGTTTATGTGCCACTGGGCCTTGGCGTGCTAAGCACATGTTCTGCCACTGGGCTGTACCCTAAACCATTCTTTTAGTTTCTGTCCAGAATTGCTGTGGAGCTCTAGCAGGGAAGTAAAACTACAGAGTAAGTACTTGCAAACAACTGTGTCTGGAATCTCACGTGTTGCCCTTAAGAGTTAGGTAATGTCTGGTTAAGTAACCAAAGTATGTGGAAGAGCATGCACAAATGTTATAAATGCTGCTGGATGGAGGAGTATGCAGAGAAAATCTGCTAGGGATTGTGTGGGTTTGGGTTTAAGCTGTATTTCTGTTTTGATGAGTGCATTGTGCCAAAAAGTTCTTCCTCTGTTCTCAGTTTCTTGGCATGAAAAGTTGAGTTGACTTTTCTTAAAGTGACCCTGTAGAGCCTTTCGCTGTTGGGATGAATAGAGAGGTTGGACGTGCCAGTCTCATATTGGGTCCATCTGCTTTAAGTGCTTTCCTTCCAGTGTAGGGAATCCTTCAGCAAGTGCCTTTGAGATAGTGTTTTGGTTTCAGATGGAGGAGTCTGCCTTTCTTCCTACAGGGCCTGTTAGTAGGTTCTTTAGTTTGTAGAATTAAAGCTTTTGGCCCTCCCTTGGTCTGTGGGTGACTGAACACAGCTGGAAATAATGGCTGAAGAGGTAGTGGAACCTTGGTTTCATCTCTCACTGCTTTAATCTTCTCACCATACAGCAGAGTAATGATTTAGTGTCACATTTGTTGTTTAGCCTTCAGATGGGCTGCACATAGGCTGCCATTTCCTTCCTTAATGGGAGGTGCAGTTGTAGGACAGGTGCTCTGAGGCGCTGTTCCATCAGTGTGGCCTCCAGTCCAGTCTCACCATCACTCTTCTCCCGGGCCTGCCCTTGGTCTGAAACATTGCAGTTGGGGGCACTCAGCATGGAAGCGCAGCTTGGGACAGTATCGTGACTGAACTTTGTTTTGATTTTTTTCAGGTCTCATCGAGTGTTACTTAGCATCTAATAGTATCCGAGAAGCAATGGTAATGGCAAACAATGTTTACAAAACTCTAGGTGCCAATGCACAGACTCTTACCCTTCTAGCCACTGTTTGTCTGGAAGACCCAGTCACACAAGAAAAAGCCAAAACTCTGTTAGATAAAGCCCTGACCCAGAGGCCGGACTACATTAAGGCTGTGGTGAAAAAAGCAGAACTACTTAGTAAGTATTTATTTTCTGCCCAATCATTCATCATTGATATTTCTAAAACCAAATTTTAGTTGGACCCCTAGCCCCAGCTTGTTACTGAAGACCAGACAAGTGTATGTCTTTTGCAGCCGTTATGAGCCTACTGCCGTTGTTTATATTTAGCACAACTAAAATGTAGCTAGACCTGCTTAGACTAGCTGAAACCATTTAAAATTGATTGGTTCATAATTAGCTCTGTCTGGTGTTAGTTGTCCTGAACTAGTGTAGCTAACTGATTTTAGCCAGTTTTAACTGTTTTTTTGAGCTATCTGGATTTTCTAGCTACTTTACTTTTTTAGTATCTGTCTTTGTGGCACCAGGGATTGAACCAAGGGCCTTTGCACTACCACCAAGCTCTTTATTTTTTATATTTTTAATTTTTTCTTTTTTTGGTACTAGAGATTGAACTCAGGACCTTGCACTTGCAAAGCAGGCAGTGGAACCACTGAGCTAAATACTCGGCCCCACCAGCCCTCTATTTGAAATTTTGAGACAGTATGTCATTAAGTTACCCAGGCTGGGCTCATTCTTATGACCCTCCTGCTTCAGTTTCCCAGAGTACTAGGATTGGTGTGTATGTGTGTGGTAATTTTTTAAGAGTTGGAAAAAATTATTGAAAGATAGCTTCTGTCTAAGAGAGACAGAAGGGTAACCAGAAAATGGATTCTTGCCATCTCTACTTCTCAAAGGTGTTTTATGGGACAAAGCCACAAGGTGAGGTGGGTTCAAGGTGGAAAAAACTATAGTCAACTAGTAAGATTGCAAGTACAGTTGCTTAGGTGGTATTGATCAATGAGAAATCACAAGGTGGACAAAACTATGATCAACCAATAAGATTATAGTCGCTTAGGTAATATTGATTAGATGGAGATGCAGTGGGAAAGCAATTCACATAGCAGGCATACAAGGATTTTCAGTTAGGGACCTTTCCTGGAGGGGGTGAATAAGATCTTGGGCCCCACCCAGGTGATTGATACCTATTTAGAATGTCAATCACTGCTTTTCATCCTTAGGGGAAGCATGTGCCTGTGATAATTTCTCTTCTTTTTCAATGCTGGCCTTCAATGAATGTGTCTTGATTGTCCATGTTGGCTCCTTGCATCCTGGCCCTGTCTACAAGACATCTAATTAACTCAACCTATCTGTAACATTCCTTCTCTGAAGAAGTACTGCTAACTGCCCTGAGGGGTCAAAGAGTGAGACCTTTCTGGCTACTTCCTATTTTTTTTTTTTTCAATTATAAAGAAAAGTTTTATTTTCGCTCATGGTTCTTGTCCAGGAGGCCACGTCTGATGAAGGTTCTCTTGCTGTCGGAGTCCCAAGGCAGCAAGGCAGCCCATGATGTACTATGGTGAGAGATGAAGAGTGTACCTTATGTCCTGACATAGGAGATTTATGGTGATCTGGATTTAGGCTCATTGGCAGATAAAGTGCATTTGGCTTTTTCTCTGAAGCAGGGTTGAGAATACATTTAACAGGCTCCCACGGGCTTGGACCACTGGTGATACGTGTGTGACTGTTCTGCCAGGTGGCTGTGCATGGTGCAGTCACACACGCACTCCTGCTGGTTCAAGCTGCCTGGCAGTGAGACACATTACAGCCCCATTGCAAACATGTTAAAAAATTAGATCTCAAGCTGTAGATTTCCTAGCAAAATAAGATTCAGATGCACTTGCTCGTGCTGTGTTGTACCGTCATTCACTTCAGGATATCTGCTAAAAATCGTCAGATTGTGGTGGTTATGGTTTTATGTATATGAGCTGAGCTGGGAATATATTTTCAAAATGTTGTTGAGATAGGGCAATGAGGGTCTTTTTCTTTTCAGGTAGAGAACAGAAATATGAAGATGGAATTGCTTTGCTGAGGAACGCACTGGCTAACCAGAGTGACTGCATCCTGCACCGCATCCTGGGAGATTTCCTCGTAGCTGTCAATGAGTATCAGGAAGCAATGGACCAATATAGTATAGCACTAAGGTAGGCACTGCACCGCCCACGGGAGGTCACGAGGAGGGTTGAGGTGTCGGCCAATGCATGGCAAGACTTCCAGCAGTGCACACACACTTTGTGCCCCAGCTGAAAACAGAACAGTAATAGCAATAGCAGAAAGATTATGGAAGTCATAACCCACACCTTCACAGCATCTCTGTTCATTTGTGTAGATCTTCCTTTCCTTGCCCACACACATGCATATTTTTGTAGGGTTATACTGCATATATATTTTCTATTCTACTTTTTTCAAATCAGAGTATTGTAAGTACTTTGCCTTGTTTCTAATTACTGTAGCAGTTGAGAACTTGTGTTCCAAGTTGGAATGCTACCATCACTCTTATTGGGTATGTTACTGAGACTTCCTTGTCTCTGACCACTTCATGGGATATTCAGTAATCGAGGATTAAATGATTATTCCATGTAAAGCTCTTGGCGCTATGCCTGGTACATAGTAAATAAGAAATAAACAGCAGTATTTGTACTGTTGGGTACAGCAGTGCTTTCTTCGAGGGTTGTCTGTGTCTGAAGTCACGGTGAGAGGCTGTGTTATCAGATCTGGTCACATGGGCCCACCCGATAGTTGCAGACAGCTGAGCAGCACCATGTGCCTGGTGTCTCAGTGACCACTGGGGCTGCTGTGATGCCCGGAGCTCTCGGGGGGCGCGGGCGCCTGGCCACAGCAGTGTAGAAGGCACAGGGGTCCAGAGGAGCAGACCTCCGGGTGCCAGTGAGAGCTGCACGAAACATCTCTGAGGAGAGAAGATGTGACAGATGAACCTGTGTGTATGTAAATAGGAACGGGAGTCCAGCATGGGTTTTAGCTGCTTTGGGGAAGTCCAGAAATAAGTGAAAAAATTTTAAAAAGCAAACTTTGAGTAGAGGTGGGATTTGCTGAGGATGGGACACTTGCTGGGGTGGGTGGTCATAAAGCCAAAGAGGAGAATGCTTGCAGGCCAAATAAATGAATGCTCTGGAGGCAGTGATCCTGGCAGGGTTCGGCACATGTGATGCACATTCCTGGGCAAGGGCAGCCTCGGGTTCTGGGTTGGAGCTGGGAGTTGAGAAGTCAGTTCCGTGGTGCAGCACGTTTCTGGGTGACAGCTGAGATCTCCTGCAGGTTTCATTGCATCAGGAACACGGACAGTTGATGCACAGAAGAGTAACTTTTTATAATGCTGTAGCTCAAAACTCCCCTAATTTTAAAAAATTACATTTGAATATTTCAGTGTTTACTGGTAACCTTCTTTAGTGGGATGCTAGGGACAGTAGGTGTGAAAAAGCTTAAGAAATTTGTGAAAGAAAAACTCAAATTGAGAACTCAAAAAATTAGGAAAAGATGCCTTTTTTTCACTTGTGGCATGGATTGCCTCGGCCCAGCCTCACAGACTGGCCAGGAGTTAGCGTGTCCTCTGTGATCGTACTCATTTTACTGCCGGCTGTCTAGATGATGAACAGATCAGCCCACAAGAAGCAAGGCAGAGATTCAGGCCTCTCCTCTGTTTTGTTGTCCCCTAGTTTGGACCCCAATGACCAGAAGTCTCTAGAGGGGATGCAGAAGATGGAAAAGGAGGAGAGTCCCACAGATGCCACTCAGGAGGAGGATGTGGACGACATGGAAGGGAGTGGGGAAGAAGGGGACCTGGAGGGCAGCGACAGTGAGGCGGCCCAGTGGGCTGACCAGGAGCAGTGGTTCGGCATGCAGTGAGGGGCGCAGCCACCTCTCCCAGCACTTCCTGGACCAGAGCAGCCGCTTGGAGGACAGTGACTGTGTGTGAGCGTACAGCAGGGGCCCTGCCTGTCTCCGAGCTCTGGCTGGGACCTTATGTGACCCCTGAGTGAGCCGAGCCAGCTGTCCATGTACCTCCATCCTCCCCTGCTTCCCAGAGAGGAGACCCCAAACCAGAAGCCTTTCGGGGCCCCAGGAAAGGGCCTTTGGTACGCCAGCTGCCACATCTGAAAGCTCAAGGACTAGATGGGGGTTTGTCCATGACCTGGATGGGTTTGAGGGAATGGCCCACTCTCCCAAAGCGAGAGGTCTCCCCACGGGACGGAGGCTGACCTGTTCCCAGAAATCATCTTTCTGGGATGCCCCCTACTGACCGGCCTCCTTCTATGCTGGTAACAATGCCTTAAGCCAACGAAGTTTTCCTCTCTGCCTTGCTGGCACCTTGCCTCGGTCTGGGCCAGCCTGAGAAGCAGTGATGAGTGTGACCAGGGTACATGGGCAGCTACTAATAAACCGGTTTGTGCAGTCACTGTGTGTTTGGGGAGCCTTTTAGAAATATTTTCTGTCTTAGGATGCAGTGTTATGGCCCCAGAATTGTTTGCCCTAGATTCCCTTTCTTCTCTGAGTGTTGGGAGCCCAGGGGATTGAGAACCTCAGCTAGCTGTGCGCTGGTTCATCTGTTTGGTTTCGGTGGTGAATTTCCTTGGGCTTCTAGCAGCTCATGTGGCTGCTTGGCTTCTTCCCCAGGCCAGTCCTGGGCACCCCCTGCAGTGAGTGCTGCAAATGTAGTAGGTGTCGGGAGACTCACTTGAAGTAAAAGGATGTCAAAGCCAATCCCAAGTTTTCCTTAAACAGAATGAGTCACAGGTGCTGTAAAATGTGAATTTGATGGTAAGGGAAAATGATGCCCAGTGAGCAGCACCTTAGGACCTTAGAACATCCCATAACTGTATCTTCTGATGGCAAAGTTACGTGAGTGTTCCCGTGTGAGGCCCAAAGCCTCTGCAGCATTGCTCGGTCTGAGCCAGTTGTGAGAAGCCCAGCAGGTGACCATGTCGTGCCAAGTGCAGTGTGGCTGGGAGATTTCCCATCGGCCGGGTTGCCTCACAGGCTTCCTCAGCTCTGCCGCAGGCCTTGCTTTGAGAGAAGGTGAAACCACTTCCCAGCCTCTGGAGGGACTCTGACCTGCAGGTCAGGATGCATCCCTGGCCTCCGTTTCCTCAGGTTATCCCTCCACTCTGCTGCTGGAACCCTTGGGTCCTTGTGGCCTGTGTCCCTGAAGCTCTGGGCTGGGGTCCCCAGGCCCCTTCCTCCTTGCACAGTCTCCTGAGGACCAGGAAGCACCACCCTCCGGCTGTTCCTCAAGCAGCTACTGGGAAACCAGGCTGCCCGAGTCGTGGGTCACTGGGATACCTGGTATTTGTCATCCATCACCTCCCACCAGACCAGAGTGCCGCCAGATACTTGGCTATGCAGCCTGCTGGGCCTACAATTCTGTGGGCCGAGGAAACCTTACTCTGCAGGCTGCCCTCTGAGCACCATCCCAACTGGAGACCCCAGCAGTGGTTGCTCCTCCTGGGGGCTGGGGCTGGCAGTCCCTGAAGTCCTTTCTGCCGGGGTCCCAGCCAAGCTGGAAGGCAGACCCAGAGTCAGGGTGCTTCCTGCCTTTTGGTGTGGGCTTCCCGATCCCCATGCTGAGCCCATGCTGGGCCAGGGACCTGCCCCTTAATGACAGCTATAGGAAGGTTTCACTCCTGCTTCTAGATTCTTCCTCCGGATGAGGCCAGCTTCTGCCCAGATCTGTAATTGTTAAACTTGAGAGCACTACTCAAGTGATGCCACTTGCTAGCACCAAACCCTAATTTCAATCTAGGTTCAGGACTTGGGACACTGAGATCTGCAGCTTCAGTCATGCCCCATCCTGACTTCCTGTTCTCTGCAGGTCTTTCTGGACCAGATACTGAGATGCCTGCAGGGTGGGCCAAAGGTCCCAGGAGCCATAGGCCTGATGTTGGAGGCCCCCGGCTGCTCCACCCTGCAGCCGCCTGTGGGTGGGAGGCCTCGCCTGCGGCTCCTGGCTCTCTGCCTGCGCTGGCTCATCCGAGGCAGGCCAGGGCCTGTGTGCAGCCACTTCTCGAGCTCAGGTGGCCCTCTCTACCCGTGACCGGCCTTGGGGCTCCTGCTCAGGCCTGCCAGGCCGGGGCTGCATTGCCCACCGATGACAGGCAGCGAGGCCAGACTGGACACGCACAGGAAGGCTTCTGAGGTGAGTGTCTCAAGTTCTCCAGTCCGTTAGTGCCTCAGGTGCCTCCAGGCCTGGGGGAGCTCTGCAGACCTGGCTGGCCTCATGGGCCCTCAGCCAGAGCCAGGGCAGAGTTGTCCCAGGTAGCCTGGGAGGATGGTGATTGCTGGCAGAGCAAAGCTTGTCATCAGTTATTTCATAAACCACACAGCACAACAACGCCAGGAATAACCCAAGACCCCACAAGTCAGCTTCCTTAGACATTGAAACATTAATTTAAAAATCAGAACACCTTGTTCATTGCCGGTGGGGATGTAGAATGGTGTAGCCATTGTGGGACAGTCTGCCATCGGTCCAGCAGGCCTCTCCCGGGGAGATGGCAAGGGGAAGGGGGGGATTCGGACAGAGATGGGCGCACCATGTCCTTGGGAGTCTCAGCAGCGCTGTTGACACCGTCCCGAAGGCAGCCGCGCCCACTGTCCATGGAGTGAGCGCTCAGACAGCAGACTGTTACAGATACTCATTTAGCAACCTGCAGCTTAATGACTGTCTTCAGACTGATGACTCAAATTTTTCTTGTACAGTTCTGTACATCTTGTGTATAGAGCCTTGGTGTCTTTTGAGCAGTACCCCTTGTTTATGCGGTGCGGTAGTGTGTGTAAGAGTTCTGCAGATAGAAGCAAAGTCATCAAGTTGGGGTTTCCTCTGACCATTTCTTTGTTTTGAATATTGTGTACACACCATATACAGTTCTTCATTTGGCGACCTCGCCTCAGAAACGGAGCTCTCGGTAGTTAAATAAGGAATGTCTGTATTCAGCCTGAAAAGGGAATTCAGACATTGCAACTCGGGCAGACCTTGAGGACATTAGGCTGAGTGGGAGAAGCTGCATGTAACGTATCTGAGACTCTTAGAGCAGTCAGATTCGGAGACGAGATTGCAAGGGGAGGGAGTGAGGTCTTAGTGGCCCAGAGTTTCAGCTGGAGTGCCCCAGGGGTGGTACAGTGTGGATCTACTTAATGCCTCTGAGCTGGACTCTTAAAAACAGTTCAGTATCAAATCTTGTATTTTAACACAAGTCAAGAAATTGCCTATAATCTGGCCATTAGATAACTCATTACAATATCTTGATTTATGTGAAGTGCAGCACATGTTTGTAAGGTAAAAGAATATGTGGCTAAAAAATTCACACAGAACCTGAGCGTGGTGGCACACACTTAAAAATCCCAGCATTTGGGAGGCTGAGGCAGGAAGATCAGCCTGTATCATGATGGCGCCGTGGCGTTCTGCGAGTGAAGCTGTGTCTGCTCCCTTGCGCCATTTGCTGAACACTTGTCTCTGCTCTGGTGCTTGTTGCTCAGTCAGTGCTGTTACATCTGGCACAGCGTGTGTGGCCTCTCCGTCCCTGCCCGTGTACTCAGAGCTCCTGTGTGCTGCGGTGTTGGTCTGCAGCGTCGGGGGGGGCTCTGATTCCCTGTGCCCAGAGGCGCTGTGGGCTTTGTTTCCTGTCTCAGGTGGGAAGAGCCAGCCTCAGCCTGCCTCACCTTTAGCCTCCTGGCTTACCCTGGCTCTACTGGGCCAGTCTCCTCCCCAGGAACTTGTAATTTGTTTTAACTGCTATTTCTTTTTTCAGTTCTGGAGATTGAACTCAGGGACTCAAGCTACTCTCCAGTGCTGCCTTCCCTTTATTTTGAGACAGGGTTTTGTTAAGTTGCCCAGGCTGGCCTTGAACTGGTAATCGTCCTGCCTCAGCCTCCTCATTGGTTAGAATGACAGGCATGTGCCAGTGGCTGCTGCGTCTTGACTGCCTGGGGCCAGGCCATGACCAGCCTTGCCTAGTGATCACCTCAGCCTCACGGCCCTCGAGGTAGGAGAGGTGGACTCAGCGCTGGTCACCGTGGACCAAGCTGAGGCCGGGTGGGACCTGTTGGCAGTTTTGTTCTATCTAGGGCCTCACTCCGTGGAGCTGTGATCTCCACCCACCCTTGCGTTCTGTTCAGATAAAAGGGTCCTCTGTCCCCTCTCTCCCTGCAGCCCTCAGCCCCCCGGGTTCAAAGGCTACAGATGTCTGGCCAGCAGCGTCATCACGGTACAGATTTCACAGCCACTTAAATCTTCCGGGTCTGTCTCTCTGTAAACAAGCCTCTGGTGACCTCCTCTGCGCTCACAACTTTTTCCTTCTTTGGGTAAATTCCCAGCAGGGGGATTTCAGAAGGAGCAGCCTGTGTGCTCTGGGAACTCTGCAGGGGGCTGGCTGGCCTCTCTGTGGCTCCCTCTTTCTGGCCTCCCCCACCTCCAGGCTGAACCAGGGCTCCCAGCTCCCCGGGGTCCACTGCTGCTCACCCTGACTTTTCTCCCGCTTGGCCAGCTCTGGCTGGGGCGCTCCTGGAGCTGATGAGACTGCTTGGTGGGGTCTGTGGGCTGCAGTTCTGGGGTCCCCTCCTTCAGTGTCCCTCAGAAGTGTCCCCACTACCACGAGAGGGATGCCACACGCCATGGAGTGACACTATTTGTGAGGCCCTTGGCCTCTGTCGGCCTCCAGTCCCCTGTGCCTGTCACTGGGTGTGGGTGGGATACAGCAGGGACATCAGCACCCAGAGCCCTGGGGTGGTGAATGTGGCAGGGTCTTTTGTTCTGGTGTCCCTGTGGCTGGAACCTTGTCCTGCTGCCCTTGGCCTGGGCCAAGTTCCAAGCCTGCTCCTGTGTGGCCTGTGGCCTGGGTGAACTTAGTTCTGCTCTGCAGCTTGGTCTCCCCAGCCTCAGGGATTAGGGCCACGAGTGGGAATCTCAGTGACGGTGTTGTGTCCTGACGCGCCCCTATCCCAAGTGGCTGACTTGAGTGACCCACAGTGCCCTCTGGCCAGCTGGCTCTGCACTGTCCCCGCAGTGGCTGCCACCACCTCTTGCTGTGTCTTGATGGCATGTGCTGGGCACAGGTGACCTGTGCATAAACGCAGCTCTTCCCAGAATGGGGGGCGCAGTGCGAGTTGACATCTGGGGGTAGCCACCATCATCCTGGGGAAGTCAAGGCCATGCGTGTGGATTGCCCGCGGTGCCCCAGGCCAGGCCTGTCCTGGTATTTCTTTATTCAGAATGTAAGACTCACAGCAGGGTGTGTGCTTAGCATGTGCGCAGCCTGGGCTCAGTGCCCAGATCACACACGAGAAAGCAGCATGTGAAACACAGCACAGAGAAGCACACGAAACGTGTACCTAGAGATCCCGGGTGAGCGCTTGCACAGTGCTCAGTCAACATCCCCCAGAAGCTCAGCCTGTCCTTTCTCACCCCTCTGTCCCTCCCTTCATCCCTCCTCTACTCTCTACCCCTGCCGGAGGTAGCCACTATCCTGAATTGTGTTGGTATGGATGCCTGTATTTATTTATTTGGAGTTTTTGAGACAGGGTCTTGCTATGTAGTCCAAGTTGGCATCAAACTCAAATCCTCCTGCCTCAACCTCCTGAGTGCTGGGATTTCAGGTGTGAACTGTCACACCCAGCTTTGAATTTTATTTTTTTACTACTTTGTTTTCTGACCCTAAACTTGAGTAAATGATGACCTCATTTTCCTCACTTGTAACATAATTGTTGTTCCCTTGTCTCGTTTTTAGTGTGCCTGTAATTTTATCCTAAACACTTGTTTTCTGAACTTGTAAGTGGAGCCATGTTTTCTGCTTAACATTTTAAAAATTGGTTCAGATTAAGTTATTCATTTTTTATTAAAAGACTTTTTGCTTTTTTAAAAATTTTATTTTTTTGTACCAGGGATTAAACTCAGGATCTTGTGCTTAGGAGGCAGGTATGGTGCCAGGTGCGCACCAGTGTGCTTGCCTTAAATTTAAAGTGTTTCGGCTTGGATTTTTGGTGATACTAGGAGTGGAACCCAGGGTGCTCTACCACAGAGGTACTTTTCAAGTCTTATTTTCATATTTTTTATGGGTACTGGGGATTCACACAGAAGCTCATCCGCAGCCCTTTTTATTTTGAGGCAGGGTCTTGCTTAAGTCACTGGGCTCAAACTTGGGAGTCATCCTGCCTCAGCCTCCCTCCCCCAGTACCACTGGTGATTTGGGGTTTTGTGTGTGCTGGGGATTGACCTCAGCGTCTTGCGTACATGCACACTTTACCACAGGCTGTACCACTAGCCCTCGGTTTCGTAAAGATTCACATATAAGACGTGTTTACAGGTAATGAACTTTAAGCCGCTGTGAATTGCCCGTCCTGCCTTTCGTCCCCTCATGTCTTCTCCAGAAGCAGCCGTATCTACTGGCTTCTTTTTGCACAGTCCTGAGGACTGAACCAGGGGCCTCATGCATACTAAGCAAGAGCTGTGCCACCGAGCTCCACCCACAGCCCTGTTTCTGGTATATTTTTTCAGAAGTAAGCTGAAGTCTGGTCAGTTTATGAGTATAGCCCACCGCTCTGGTATTTGCAGAGTTCGTCAGTTTCTTGTTTCCATTTTTTGGTGAGATCTGCTCCTAACAACAGGTTAAGATTTATAAATAAGAAATACAAAGGTTACACGTATATCGAAAGTCCCCAACCAATATATTTGTGTAGCTTCCAAACTTAGCCATTTTAGAATTTCTCCCAATTTTGACGGGAAGCTTCCAGCTCAAGTTGGCCAGCAGGCGCCAGCCAAGCACTGGCCTTGTTTCCCTCCTTTGGCCTTGCTGCAAGTGCAAGTGGCACTGAAACAGAGCAACAGGAAGAACGTGCTTCAGGGACTGTTTTTTTGCTTGAGATAGTCTCTCTCTAACCCAGGTGATCCGCCCGCCGGTCGTGTGGGTTCTTGACTGTGCTGATGCGGCAGCGTTTGGGGTCGTATCTCGTCCTTCCTGCCATTTATTCCCTCAGTCCCTACTGATGTCTCCTGATGCTCTGCTCATTTGCTGTGTATCTGAGCTCTTTGGTTTCTTGCATGCGGACAGCAGTGAGCTCATCGTGCCCACAGCTGACAATCACTTAAGTCTCCTCTGTCCTCCTGTCACCTCAGCTCCACTCCTGTCCCCATCTGGTATTTCCCTTATGTGGGATCTGCAGGAAAGAACTAGCTCCGCTCATCTGAAAATGCCTGTTTCACCGGAGTCTTTAAATCCCGAGGCTGCCCTCAGCTCAATTCTGGCTCCTGCAGTCACTTAGTGGCTGGTATCCTACCGTCCCCACCTTGGGCCCTCCTGCCTGAGCTGCCCTGTGCTAGAATGGCTGGCCTGGTCGCGGATGGCTTTAGGGATCTGGCAGGTGTTCCCTGTAATTAGGCGGGCAGGGTGACGTGGTTGGGAGGACCCTGGGTGAAACAGCCCTCGCCACCTCCCAAAGGGGCACCGCTTGTAGGATGGCGTCACCGGCTCAGGCGGGTTTGCTGACCTGGACCGCCTGGCTGAGGTAGTGTCTGTCAGCTTCCTCCCCTCCAGCCACACTGTTCCCTTTTGGCACAAGTACGTCTGAGAGGACTCCTCCTCCTGGGCCCTGCTCTCTCCCATTTACCAGCTCATGGGTGTGACAACACTCCAGCTCCCCTGTGCGCTGCTCTGCTGTGTGGCTCAGGATGCCCAGCACAAGTAGTGGGCACCTTTCTTGTCTGACCCAATCCTCCCTGGCCCGTCTCGCCAGCACAGGAGCCCTAGCTTGGGGGTGAATCTGGGGGCTGCAGGGGTCCTGCGAAGAACCAGGTGTGTACAGAGCAGTGGGTACACTTCACCGCCAGCATTGTGTGTGGTGCCCTCCACGTCCACAGATGGGCTCATCCGGGAGCCTCCTCCCTGAGTCAGAGCAAGTCACCATGTGCCTCACTCTGCCTCCTGCCACCTAGAGCCCAGCATTTTCTTATTCGAGAGCAACTGTGAATGTCCCCATTTTAAAAAATGGATGGTAGAGGCTGGTTGTGGTGCACACCTGTAATCCCAGCACTCAGGAGGCCAAGGCAGGAAGATCCCTGCAGGGTCAGCCTGAACCTTGAGACCCTCAAAAAAAAAAAACCACCAAAAGAATGGTAGCGTATTACACCAAGTGCTCTGCACTCAGGCATTTCCTAGGCAGGCAGTGCATCCTGGACATTGTCCTTTTCAGGGGCATTGCTGTACTCCATGGCTCGGTGGTTGTCCTTTACTCAGCACCCTGCCTACAGTGGCTCCCAGGCCACTCCCAGGCTCTTGCTAAGTGCGTTCTCTGAAAGGTGACTTCATGTGAATGAAGGCCTTGTTTAGAACCCTGCAACTGGGCGTCGTTTTGCTGCTGTCCACAAGAGATAAGATTCAGGCCATACTTTGTGATCTTTGCCAGCTGCAAATTTAGGAAATTAATTTCTCAAATGCAGCACAAGCATCTTCTCTGAACTCCCAAGAGGGTGAGCATTGTTCAGAAGCTGCATTTTCTATCGCCAGTGCCTCCCCACCTATGCTATGGGGCTGTGGGGGCCTGGGCTTGATCCTCCACACTGCAACCGCCCCCCACCTGCCCCAGACCCCCGGTTTACACCGAGGCCGGTCCCGACTGCCCCTGGAGCTGCACACTTGTGTCCTGGCTGCTGGGAACCCGAACCTCAAGCTGCAGCTCGCACCTCACCCTGTGCTGCGTCACCAGATGCTGCGTCCACACCAGGCCGGGACAAGGCTTCATCTTTCAGTCGATGACACCAGATGACCCTTGGTGTTCTGCCAGTGGGGTAAGCACCTTTCCATAGTTATAAACTACTCAGAATTTTTATTTAATGGTCTTTTAGGGCATCAAACTTACTTTCTTTTATTTGGTACCAGGGATCGAACTCAGGTCCTTGCACTTTCAAGGAAGGCGGTGGAAGCACTAAGCTAAATCCCCAGCCCTCAAACTTATTTTCAAAGCCTGTTGACCCACATGAATTTTATTGGTTGTAAGCGATATGGTACTATTACTTCCGAGTTGCCTACTCACACAGTAACTTTCACCTGGTAACAAACGCCCCTTTCTTGGGCCACACATTCCATTTCTACAGCTTCATTGAGGTGTGGCATGCATCCCTGTCACCTCTTCTGTCCCCATTGTCAGAATGGCCTCAGCCCTTGCTAGAGATAGGGAGAAGTTGCCCAGCCTGGCCCCAAGCTTGCTTCCTCCTGCCTTAGCCTCTCAAGTGGCTGGAATATCGAGGTGTACACTGCCATACCTGGCCCACCCTAACGAAGTGACCAAAGCAAAGAACCATCTTAGGAAACTCGGGTACACACCTGGTAAGCAAGCCCCTGTACTTCACCTCTTTCCCAAGTTTGTCAGCAACAGGTGTCAAATTTTATACTTCACATTTGAACGGTATCAGAAGCCTCTAGGTTGCTGGTATCCACATTTTTCAGTCTGTTGACAACTCTGACAGCTGATCTTGGCCTTCTCAAACTGACAAACTGAACAACTCTAATCTCAGCACTTGGAAGGCTGAGGCAGGAGGATCACCATGAGTTCAAGGCCAGCCTGTGTACAGTGTGAGAACTGTGTACAGTGAGAACTCTTGTCTCACCCCCCCACCCCCAAAAGAGCCCAGGAGAGTCCATACCACACGGATATTTTTATCATAGAATAAATTTATTTACTGGAAACCACATCTGTGCAACGCCTGTTGTTACCAGCACAGAAGAGGGAAAAACCGACCTTTATTTACAGTCTAGTCAAACATGCATTGTGATAAACTGACGCTTAGCATCTGATTAAGATAAATGCATCACAATGTTTGTATTGCACCAACGTCTGTCTACTGCTTCAGATTTCATTAAATAAGTTACATTTAATACAGTGCGAAATAGCTGTCTATGCACACCCAAAAACAACAGGTTATGAACTGGAGGCCTACATTTTAACCACTAAACACCTGTGTTTTTAATAAATTTGTAAATAAGCAAACTGTACAGGGCCAATTGAAAAGTAGCAGGTCTCAATGTCACCGCAGAGGAATCTGACTAACACTGGAAGGCATGCATTACAGCTCAGTATTGTACATTCAGAGAAGCTATGGCATTTGCAGAGAAAGGTGGAGACTCGGCTGATGCTTCTAGGCTCCTGGATAAGGTTTCAGAACCTCATTCTTCTTGCAGCAAAGAAACCAAACTTCTCTGGAGAGGCTGATTTCGTTAAATTGTACATTTGTAAGCATTATTTTGATTTTAAAGGCTAAAAACCGCAGTTGTAATACACATTTCCTCCACATTACACACAATGAGCTGGGAACTTTTTCTACTTTTCTTTTTCCCCAACATCAGTCATGCAGAGGCTAGTAGATGTGTTGCTAAAAACGTACATGCACGCAACCAAACACCCTTACGTTTCTGCAAAATGGTTTAGGAAGCGGTTACTCCAGTATTGCTGCAAAGGAAAGAGAGAGGAAATCAGCTTCATGAACCATGGGAGGAAATGGCAGAGTAACTACCTAGGACCCGGACGGACAGTGACAGACGAGAAGGGACGCTCAGCTCAATCTCAGAGATGTCGAGACCAGCATTTCGGACCGACTGTCCCTGAGGTGCCACCTACACAGGCTGCATCAAGAAGCAGTGGCTCGGTGACCGTGTCCTTGTGCCGTCGGCCTGCTTGCAAAGCTGCCCTGACCCCCCACACACACCAGGTGCCGAGCAGTGAGGCGGGAGGCGGGTGGCACAGGAGTGAGCATTGTGGCGCCAGCACCCCAGCTGCCCTGGGAAAGGGCTGAGCCCTGGCTGTGGCCCACCTTCTCCCCTTCCTGCTAACTGCAAGGCGCAGGCCTGGTTCTAAGAGGCCGAGGGCAACCTGACCTTGCTGTGCGCAATGGGGTGGGCTGTGGTCCACCATGTGGTGCGGGCAGAGACTGAGCTAATCAATGCTCCGGGGATGGCTCTTCCCTGGGCAGGGTGGGTGTGCCAGGCCGCTCATCTCTGGTGCTGCGCTGGCAGCTGCTGTGAGGCTGGCCCGGAGCCCCACCTGTCCTGGCAGTGCTTTGCTCCCTCCTGCACTGTGCGGAGCTCCACTGAGCAGGCCCTACCTGGGGCTCAGGGTGTGGTGGCTGACAGACAACCCCCATTCGGGCAGTGTTGTCCCTTCCCAACGGCCCTGGGGCCGAGACCTTGTGGCGGTGGCCCTGGGCTCCCCAGGCTGACTACAGCCACGCCTCCTACAGAAGGGACCAGGAGGGCTGCCCAGTGGCTGAGCAACTACAGCAGCAGCTGGCCGGGCACGTGTGTGTGCCTGGCTAATGCAGGGGCCTCCCCACTCCGCTTTTGTAAAGGCTGCTAAATCAAGGAACGGAGTCAGGAAAAGCTATTTGGTTGGTTTGGTTTCCACCACACAGTGCCCCACCTAGAAGCCCAGACATCTGGTTCTGGCCTGCAGCTCAGAGGCACTGCTTGCACTTGATCCACTCACCCCACTTCCTTTTGTGCCTCATGACTCCCTGAGAGAACGCCATGGGCAGGCCCTGAGGCCTCGTGCCTGCTGCACACGACCACACCTTCAGCCAATCGCCTGTGCACCGTGGGCCTAGGAACCTCAGATGAAGGCTCCAGCACCTGCAGCACACCCGGCCACCCCAGCACCAGAGCCTGAGGACCTCGCTACTCGGCCACCTCAGGACACTTAACAGCTGAGCCAGGGGAACGAGCAGTGCCCTGCCTGGCACTGTGGGAACGCCCCTGGGAGATAGGACTGCGACCCGGAAAGGTAAGGGAGCCGGTGCTATCAGACCTCACTGGTGCAGTGACCTGTGCTGCTGGCTCAGAGGTGTCTGGGGTGACTCTGCTGCTACAGAGGTCAGAAGCCCCACCTCGTGGCTTTGTGAGGTCTCCCTCAGCACCAGAGGCAGCCAGGCGCCCCCGCCTCCAGTATGAGCGGGCAGCAGCCCTCACGGCTGGTGTGCAGCATCCCGCAGAGCTGCCGGCCAGGCACCATGCAGAGCCCGAGAGCTGCCTCTGAAGCCAGTGAACACTGCAAGGAGGCTCCTGTGTCACCCTGCAGCTGCCACTTCCTAACCCTGCCAGGGCAGCGGCCACACAGCAGACCAGAGGGCTGCCTCACTGGTGGCGTCACCTTGGGTAAAGCATGCCAATTCCAGGGGAGAAAATACTCACGTTAGTTGATGGATGATGGAAGGCATTGGAGGAAAACACCACAGTTAGGACTGTTAATGACTCACGCTGTTGTAAGACTGAGCTCGAACATGCACAAACATTTCTCAGATGTGGTGGTTAGTGCCACATTCAAATAAAAATAGTTCTATACAATATGTTCATCTGGTCATGTGCTATTTACAGATTTTACAAAACACATACACGCACAGACACACATACACACACTTCCCTTACATTCCAGGCTACACGCAGGCCAGCAGAGACTTGCATAAAATGTGTATCACAGATGACAATGCGCACCCACACATTAAGTAAAATTTCCACAACTACCTATGCAGCAGAACAGGACCCTCTTGCCCTCAAGCACAGTAAACTAAAGTTCTTAAACAACTTAAAAGAAAGGTGGACTATCTATAAGATAGTTCAAGATAAGCCACTTAAGAACAAGACAGTTATTTTTCGCTGTCCATTTAAAATGTTTTATTTTTCTTTTAAAACTAGATTGTGAAGTGCCACTGAAATAGGCGATGTTGGCAAAACAATGTCTGTTACAATAAAGTACATTAGGCATTTAAATAAATAATCTTAAAAACTATGTGGGACACGACCCCAGTTGACTGAATCTGAAACAATGTTTTCTGCACAGGCGAGACAGGCATACCTCTGAAGACGGTGTAAACAGAACTGAGACCCTAAGAAGCCGGGCGGGGCAGGCAGCAGGGGTGTATGGAGGCGGGTGGTGAGGGAGTGGCCAACCAAAAAATACTGACTGAGGTAGCAGACTCTGCTCAGTGCAGAAAAATTGGCTTAGGAGTAAAAATTAGACTGTGATATGAAATTAAATCCAGGTAATCATGCAAAAGATAATACATGCTATTTAATTTTTTTTTAAAAAACCACACACATTCATTTCCTAAGTCTGCTGCCAATTAATTTGTTGCCAATGTCTGCTGGCTCAACTATTTTTTATACAAGGATGAGTATTAAACAGAACACTGTACATGCTTTTTCATCTACAAAAAAATATTTGCATAAAATAGTTAGTTCTCTGTACATGTCAATGGACACTTTAATTATGTGTATAAAAAAGGAAAATCTTGAGCCCCACTGGAGTCAGAAAAAGCAAAACAAAATCTAGAGTATGAAACCTCCTTCACCAGCCAATATGTTCATGTGAAAATTCAGCAGAAATAGACAGTTGCTTTAAACAATAAAAAATTAAGTTAGACATCTTCTGCATGGAGAGCTGTCAGTCAAGACCAGAACATATCACTAAAGTTAGTGTCTGTGCTATAGACCCAGACCACCAGGGGCATTATGAGCAGCACAAACGGCCAGGAAATCCCATCGGTGCATGCCGAGAACGAGCAGGATTTGGTGGGAGGCTGCACACACTCTTTACCAGGTTCCAGGTAGTTGCGGGCCACAAACTTGAGCGTCTCATCCATGAGAATCACAGGCAGGGAGATTTTCAGCACCATCAGCCACTGGGTCAGGTTCAGCGGTGTGATCTGGAAGATGAGCTGAAGCACAGAGGCTGCGTCAGGCACCACCCTCACAGAAGGGGGCCCAGGCCCCACCCGGCTCCCGCCTCACTCACTGGCAAGGGCTCCACGTAGAGGATCAGGAAGTGGAGGGACATGGACAGGCAGATGGACCCCACGAGCCAGATGTTCTCCCATGGGGGCATCCTCAGCAAGGACTGGTTTTCAGACAGGCTGAGGACAGGGAAGGGCAGTGAGTTCAGTGCTGCTGCGCACTCCAACACCCACTGACCTCATTCTCATCCTAGGCACTCAAGTTTCCTTCTGCCTCGGCAAAGTTAAGGCAGATGTAGGACAAACTCAGATCCCCTCTCAGCCGGCCCAAAGCTGCCCGACTGTCCCGGACACCTGGGCTATTTAGAAATTTCCATTTTTGTCACTGGCTTCATTGGTGGTACCATTTGTTTCAACACTGAAGGGCATGAACCCTGCCCCTCAGGACTCACACAGAGGTACCATTGTCCCTACTCTTGCCTCTGCAGTTTCTGTTTCTTAAACATATGGCTGAGCGCTCCCACTGACAAGGTGATGACAGCTTGGGCTTTGCAAACTGGTGCAAAGGACTTTCCTGTAACCCTCACTTAGTCCCTATGACCCCGTGTTAAGCCCACTGCAGACTCACCTGTTGAGGGCATTACACATCTCTATGGTTACTAGAACCGAGAGTGCCATTGTCATTGGGTATGGGGACTCAAAGATGGCACAATCTACTCCTTCAAAGTCTGGGTTGTCCTCTTTACATTGTAGGAAATGACTCTGCAACAGAAGTTCATGGTTAGTCCCAGGCAGCTGTTTTTTTTCCTTTCATTTTTGGTGGTACTGGGGGCTGAACACCCAGGGGCCTTCACAGTGAGCTACATTCCCTAGACCTTTATTTTGGGAGAAGGTCACCAAGTCACTAAGCTGCCCGGGCAGTGATGAAACTTTTGGTCCTTCTGCCTCAGCCTTCCTCCCAGAGCACTGGAATCACAAACAGCACCATACCATACCTGACCCAAACCTATTTCTGAAGCCCTGGCACCAATTCCACCTCAAGGCCAGACCTCAGCCCCAGACAAGTGTGGAATGGCCATGGATTTCATTCTAGCTCTCTGGTCCCTGAGATTCATCTCAGGTGCAATGCCTATTGTTTGAATGTTAGGATGATTCAACAGACACCTAAGCCACAGAAAGAT